AAATTTTTCCGTTTCATTCGCTTTCAGCGGAGTTATGGTAGTGCGACGGTCTTTGATAGGTGCGACGGTCAATCACCGTCATTTTTTCACATTCTGTGAGCGGTATTGTACTTATTTACTTTTTTTGATACTATTTTGAAACGCTTGAAAGAAATTTGGTCATAAGTTGTCGTTTTGCAGCGAAACCACGTCCGTTCATTTCTCACAGTGAAGCCGAGGAAGAAGCCTCTTCAGATGAAGAACTGAGCCCTACGGAGATCGACAAGTCATTTGCCGAGCAACTGCGCAATATCCGCGAGAGAAAGGTGTGCTCCCCAAACGAATATCCTCTAACCTGGCATTGATGATTCTAGCAAGTTGTAGTCGCCACAGTTCTTCATGAATTTAAGTGAATTTGATTCCGGTTCTGATTTCCGCGCTTCGCAAAAGTCCGGGGTGCCTGGGACGAAAATCGGATTTTCGCCAGAGATTGTTCTAATACAAAGATCGCTTAGGGTTGTCTTTCAGCTTCTGAGCACATAAAGTCGACCTATGAATTTGTAATTATCCATCTTTACCAAGTACAAGTGGTACTTTCTTCCAGCAGCACTGTAGTACAGTCGTTTCCTTTCAGGCCGATGCCTCTGTGACTCCTCGAGGATCTGCGAGAAATTCTCCCGATGCGACACCCAAATGCTCTCCAATGATGCCTCGTAAACGGGACGATGAGTCGGCCAGCGCCAAAAGTGAGTGCTTTTTGCTTTTTATTGACAACTGGACCCTTATCCTGGTCCTATACACTATCCATCACGAGCAATAATCTGTGGAATCATACGGTTAGATATATGCTGTTAGGCCACTTGACTAACAGGGAATACTACCACTCAGAACTATTTACTAAGAACCTCATCTACCGGAGAATAGGTGCATAGGGATCGCCAGCTGAACTTAGGGGGTCCTACTTGTGAGCTGGACAGATTTGCCACGAAGAGAGAATGGCGACGAGCGAGACGCAGGCAACTCGCCGCGTAGATCGATGTGCTGCGAATCACGGCTGGAGCAGACCTGGCACAATCAGGGTCTAAGCTCACTTGTCGCGAGCTTCTGGCTGCCAGGACGGCACTATTCCTACTTCTTAACAGACCTAGCCTACTCACGGAGAGTCTTGAAAGTACAGTAGGCCTCAAAGGTGGAGTTTACGATTAGAAGACATCCCACTAGAACTAAAGTAGAGGTAGTAAGTGGTGCCAGGATGCATAAAAACCATAGAAACGGCCCAAAACTCGAGAAATTGGACCCCTCCATTGGGTGGGACCCACAACCCTTCACGTTAAGTGCACATTTTTCTTTCATATAATTCGATTCTTTTTAGCAAAGGAGTCTGCAGCGGCATTGAAGCCGGTCACATCGGCAATGGAGGACTACACCCGACGAGATTCACTGTCAGCCTCTGATGCCAACGAGAAAAAGAAGTCACCCACTCCTAGTGGGGAAATCGGAACGATGTAAGCGAGGACCCAGCGGAGGAGTGTGAGTCAAACGTCGCGCCTCTTCAGTCGAGGGGGAAAAGGAGAAAACTTCATCGAAGCCCGCTGAGAAACCCGACGCGAAACCCATTGAATCGTCTCCGGTAGAGAATGTTCCCAAATCAGAAGCTGCAAAGGAAGAGGCTCGGCCAGCGTCGATCCAGCGTAAGAGTCCTACCCCCTCTGCTGCCAAGGACTCAACTTCTGCAGAGACAAAGATGCAGCCACATCTTGGCTTCAGAAGACAAAAAAGAAACCCAGTCACAGAATATGACGTCAACGGCAGCCAGCGGTGACACTTCACAAAGCGACAGATCAAGAGCAAGCAGCCGAGCCAGTCGAAGTTCGGCAAGGTCGCGCTCCTCGAGTCCGGCTGTGAGAAACGCCCAGAAACCAGAACAACCTAAGAACGCGTTGCCGATCCTTGTCACAACATCCATAGAAAATCAGTCGGACAAGGAGGCAGCCAAAGAGCCTACAGTCGACGTCGTCATTCCTTCTGAACGTGCTGAAGGTGAGATATTTTTTCTTAAAAAAATGGGTAGATGGCTTTAAATACGAAACAGCCGGAGTGAGTTTGTAATGGCATATGTCGAAATCAAGCGTGCCTTCACGAAAACCAAACCCATTACGACGGTACAAGGATATCTCCACCATAATTCGTGCTGGGCCGAGAGTGACACAGAGTATGATCAGGCTTCGTGATCGAAACCGCGCAGTGATGGACGCCATCCGATCTAGTATTTGGGTCTACCCTAAACCACCACCAGTCACCTAAAAGCGAATCCTCCACTCTGTTTAAGTTTGGCGGTTTGGACGATACGTTGCAGCAGCGGCACAACTGAAGCAACATTGACTGCGGGCATGGATCATGGACTGGCTCATCATGGTGCTAGCGGCCAAACTCGTCCATACGTTCGACCGTCTCAGCCGCTGCCTGTCCTTCAGCAAAGGACCAACGTCCAAACAAGGGGATCTCCTTTCTTATTTTCCCGGCGGATTTCTCTGCTTTTTTCGCCATTGGCGTACCAATCAGCATCCAGTCCAGCTGTAAATCCTCTAAACTATCGTATCGCACCTTTGACTACCGTCGGTTGGTTTGATCTGAGATGTTTATACTTAAAGGAATCTTCCACGGAAAAACATCGCCTCCATTCCTACAAAAAAAACGATACCTTAGGCCCCTTGCTTCATGAAGATAGCAAAAAGAACGGAACATAGGCGATGGTTTTGATAATAATTATGATAACCAGTTCGACTATGAAAATTTGAATTCCCGCTGTAAAACTTCCACAACTGTTAGCGGCGTGGAGTCAACACGTGCAAACGTGTCAAAAGCGTGAACGTGAACTGGATTCATGTTGGGCCCTTCCCATAAACTGACACGTGGATCCGCACCTGCCACGCACTTCGTCACAGAAGCACTTCCGGTCCCGCCTACTGGTCCAATCCGGTCCCAACAGATGGTCTTTCCAAGGGCTGTTTCTCTTGGGGTTTCATCATTTTCGCTCTGAACTTTGCATATGGTCTTCAATGACCATGCCCAACACCTGTACACAAGGAAAAGGATAAGCAGTCTTTCCGTGGAAGATTCCTTCGTGAAGTTGTCCAAAGTACTTGTCAAAAAGGTGCGCTTTTTCAGCTAAGCGAAATTAATAAGTGAGAAGAATGCACGAAATCAGTTTCAGTGAGCACTTTTGACCACCACTGTGTGAGGAAAGCTGTGGGGGCACATTTTCGAAGGACAACCCATTTGGCGCTCTTTGTTTCACAGGAACAATCCTTGCATATTTGTGACCATTCAAAAGTTGATCGGAAGTTATTGAGGCTGATTTCACCAGTAAATGAGAATGAGGCGAGAACTGGTTTGTTCTTGTCTCCAAGTTTATTCGCTAGGAAATGACATCATAAACTCACAGTTGCAACTGATAACGACGTTAGGAATGAGAACAATGGAAACATGATTGAGATACTTTAGTAATGAGAGTTGTCAACATTAAAAGGTAATAAATCAGAAAGAACAGTGAAGCATTCCAGAGAAATCGCAGCAGATCAGTGAGCCCCGGTCGAAAGTCGCATCATCGCCATGTGAAGGAGAACACTCCACAGTTGCTCAGCGTCGGCTTCAAAAACCCATCACAGTAAGTTTCAGAGAAATGTATTAGATATCTCGGGGTTACTCCAAAGTCCCGAAGATAATCCATTAGTACCCGGAAAGGAAACAGGCCAGCTGATGATGGTTACCAGTTCACCAAGGGTTTTTTCATTGAAGATCGTTTCTGTGGGAAAGTCGGAGAGCAGCAGGAAGTAGAAAAAACAAGACGAATGGCCCCGTCACAGCCATGTGGCACTCGTTTGAAGCGCTGTTGTCCTTTGTCCTCAATCGTACACACTCACCAGACGTTGTCACTGTCAATGCTTGAGCTTCCAGCCTCCGCCCGGATGCGACGCTCTGCAAGCCCGACGGCTGACCCCTCTCCAAGTGATAATGCGAGTTCCAACGGCGAAGAAGAGTCCAGAAAAGGTGAGCTACTTCGGTCAAGCACCGTATAGATGCACATATAATTAAAAGCTTTAGGAAGTAATTTTTAGGCCGTCGCAAGCGTCGCGACCCGACGCGAACCCTGGAAAATCTGAAGGAAAAGTTGGCCAGTGAGAAGCAGGCAGAGGATGGACAAGATGAAGGAGAGAAAAAGGAAATGTCGTCTTCCACAGCCAGCGATGAGAATGGACCTGTATCCGAGGTCGGTTCTCAGCCTCCTATCTGGGTGGCCATTAAAGTGGACTAATTACCATTTTCAGATGCCAAATCACCCACGACCTCCTCTGCTTCTCGTCACCGAGCCGACCAACGACACGGATAGGGAATGTCCGGATTTGTGGGAAGAATCCTCTGATGGTGATTGGACTGAGGCTGAGGACGAGGCCGATTGTAAGTAATTCATAGGGAAGGACTGATAAATATGTATAATCGATTTCGAGCTGAGGGTGGCAATTTTTCAGTAGGATTGCAACACCTAGAGGGATTTTGAGGTGCTGTCGGCTTTTTTTGTGGTGAAGAATAACAAGTAAACTATTGAAGGCGAACTTTATGATCAGAGGGTAGCCCATTAGAACCAAGGTAGAGGAGGTTGGTGGTGCTGGGATGAGGAAAAAGGTTTTGGATCGTAAAAATGGTACCCCTTCCTTGCCCGTTGATTTCCGCACTTGATGCGACTCTCATCGGCTGCCCTCTTCAACGCTAACGCTCTCTCTGCTAAACGGCTAGAGACCTGCGGCGAGTGGTTAGCCAGTCGGTGGGCGTGCCGCGCCGATAGCGCCGCGGGAGGTCCTGCTAGGCAGGGGCGTGCCCTTCGCTG